ACAGTAAGATAGTTACCGTTAACTATCGAACATCATTTTGAAAGTATTTTTGGAAATCTTAAACAGGCCAGAAGAAAAGGAAAATGTACAACAAAGACGTTTTGGTGATGCCCTATACCCTCTACCGAGATAAAACAAAAGATTGGGCAAGTGAATCTTTAGATGAGCTCGAAGTCTATAAGATGTAGAGAGACAATGCTATTAGGAGAGTAAAAAATCGACACGAGTTCATGTGTTTAATATACATGGATCCGATGGGGAACTGCATGGTACAATCTCATCCCTTGAGACTGTTCAAAGAGCAAGAGAGGTAACCAATGCTCAATGGGCTTAGATCAGAGTCATACTTATCCTTGAATCCTCTTCAAAGATCCTTCGAGCAGCCAACTTCAGCACCATCTTCAATAGCAAACAACAATCAGTTCCTTAGCATTCTCTATCACTATTGGCATAGAGGACCTCCGACAAAGGTTTGGAGGGGGGGACTCAGGGTACCCCCTCATGACCTCTGTCTAACCCATACTTCCACATCAGAGAACAACAAAATCCTCACGAGGCTTCTATCAATCCGTTCTCAGATCAACATCAGTCAGTCGGTGCTTCCATCATAGACATTCAAATCAGTCTCAAGACCCATCTCAGCACACAAGTACAGTTCAGTTATTTCCGGTCAACCAATCAATCTTGACCAACCTCAATCAGATAGCTCGAAAGGATGCCTTTCATTACCAGTATGCCAGTGCAATCGGTTTCAAACAAGAACATTTGTCATTCTTTGTTGTCCTCGCTAAGTCTGCATAAGGTACTATTCAGGACTTGAGGATCTATATAAAGCAAGGCAAGGAGACTCGTCAGCACTTCGACTCAGTCTGGGTTACAGCAGCCCGGTATGTTGAGGAGAGTAAGGGTGGTTCAAGGGGGTGATTCACAGCTTTGGACCTAAGCTATACTCTAACTACCCTAGGCCTCAAGTTATTTTCTACCTGATCGATGGTTCTTACTGGGGTGAATTGGTTGACCTAACCAAGAGGTATGTCTCACCAGCAGAGATTGATTATGAGGCAGTGACTGAACCATCAGAGTTTCAACATCTTAGAGAGGGATTTTCTTAAGGCCATATCTCCCAGCTCTGTGGGAGGACTTTTGTGTTATGCTTGATTTACGAATCTTTGGCCTTGGATGAACGTATTTGGAGCTCGTGGGCTTTAGGTGGCTCTACATCTCTAGGCCACAATCTCAGAAGGTACATAGACGTGGCTCAAGGCACAAGAGACACAGTCAAAGGAGAAATTGAGGAGTCTTGACGAGTGCTAGCCATGTCCTTTCATTTGTACTTTCTGAAATTATAACGAGTTGTCACCTTCCTTCATTCATCTCGTCTTTGGCTTGAGTTAGTCGGTCCTAATTCGTTTGCGTTGACATTGCTCGAGATTATGCTCTCTGTTGATCTTGTCACAATTCTCAAATTTTTAAATTGGCAAACTTGATACGCGCATGACATATTTAAAATTTTTAATTTATTAATTGTATGATTATTGCTGTTCCGAATCATAATAAAAGGTTCCTATGATTGGGGACCGGCGTAGACCGTAATTAAAAGACCTCGCTCGAAGCCGGATGCACACAACAAAAAGGGCTTTGCATTATTTAATTCATTTTTACTATTTAGTGCAAAAAATATATTTCATAAAAAATCTTGCGTGACAGCCTGTTGGCTTTCTAGTCACCAGGAGTGGTTTGACTGGGAAAAGTGCAATAGCAGGTATACCAATTGAGATAGGCCCGTTGGTTTCAGCACCGGTCCAGGTATCGGTACCGAAACTGGTGCCGTGTCCTAGGACCCTAAAGAAAAAGAACATAGACATAAAAGAAAAGAGTGGGAAACAAGGAGAGGGGGAGGAACCGCAGGCAGCTCCTTGGCCCCCTCTGATCGGGCCCGCGGTTGGGGCTGGTCAACAAAACCAAGGGGGATAGCCCCGCTGGGGACCCTCAAGCCCTCGACTTCTCTCCCGCTGCTCCTTCGCTCCTTTATCGCCGGTCGCTGGGCCTTGATCTCCAAGGTGAAATTCTAACATCGTAACCAATAGTGCTAGGCCCAAGGTTGAGACTAGCACTAGCAAAATTCCATATGAATGGGCACCATCTCGTATGGGAGCCTACCGAAACGCCCCAAGGCGACACCTTGGTCTATCGGTCGAGCCTACGGCAGCCAAACCACGACGCCCGCCACACGAAAGGCCAGCCTCCTAACACCTTGGTCTATCGATCGGGCATACTGCTGCACACACCACCTATTACACCAAGGTCTCATTGCCGCTGCTCCATGCCTACGCAAGCTGCCACTCTTCCAAAGCCCTATTTCTGTCTGAAAGCGAACGAAACTCCAACCTTCCCTCATGCCGAATTCCACTCACACACACCATGTCGAGGCCGATGGTTGCCCACACCGTCTAAACCAAACATGATAACCACTCCCCTTATGAATCCTGCACTATGCGGGCTCAACCACCGCCTCGAAATAAACTCATAGGTAGTTCTTAACGAGCGACACCGGTTACTGGACCTGACGCCGACCATGGCAAATGGGGCCTCCGTGCGGATTCAAGCACCACCGTCAAACCTACCGACCAAAGGGAAGATACCACTTAGTCCTAATTTAATGGAAACTGGAAGTTGGCCGGCGATTGTGCCATCAACAAAAAACCACGCGCGCTGCGGGGCTTGACCCCTTGACCTGTTTCTTGCTGGGCTCCCTCTTAGACGTAGCGCTAGACCACAAGGGCTTTCATTTTTGTCCATTTCTGCAGTTTTCCCTTGCTGGGCTCCCTCTTAGACGTAGTGGTAGACCACAAGGGCTTTCATTTTTGTTCTGCAGTTTTCCCTAGTCTGGTCGGTTGTAGGTCTTTCACGGACTAAAGTCGAGTGCACGTAGCGAATTCAGTCGGGTCTTTTCTCGTTTATTTTGTTGGGGAAACTCAGCCAGTTCGGGAGTTGAGCGCAGCAGCGCTATTTTGGTCATCTTCTACTTCCGTGTGCAGCCATCGCTGCTGGTCGGGACTGAAGATTGAAGGGCAGGCTGCTATATGTGTGCAGTGCTGCAGGGAGTTTCCACGACACCTGTGCTGTTGGGTGTGGGGCGCTGCCATCACAGTCAGTTGGCAGCCTTCTCGTTGTTCCTCCTCACAAGGAACTTACTTCACCTGCATGGTCTTCTTCTTCTTCATCAGGATTCCCAGCGCTGCACTTCCATGTGGGCGCTGAGCTGGCACATGATTACTGTTGGGGTTTCTAGTTCAGATTGGCTTTGGGGTGACAGTTTAAGGGTTCTACAGCTACGACAGCCATTGCCAGGGTGATAAGGTGGCGAGGAGGAAGAACAAGACTGCATGAGCCTTCGTTGAATATTTGATTCTGGTTGTTCGGGGTTGTTGACAACACTGTTGTGATTCTTGGAATAAAGTAGTCTGGATTGATTGGATGACGACGCGGGTAATTTCAGAATTGAATTTGTTCTTCAATTTTTATTGTGTAATGAGCTTTCACTGGATATCTTACTCCGGGTTTCGAGTGGTTTTGCCTCCTTCGATTCTAGTCTGCAATTGCATGCATGTATGGGAACGCACCGTGGATCGGGTACATAACACACAGGCCTTGACAGGTTGTACAACACCTCGGTGTCAACCGCACTCTTGCCCAACTTCCTGAGCATTTTTACTAGCCAAGCTTAGTGGGAGATGTCATGCAATATTGCTAGCTCTAAGTTTGCAAGCCAAGCAAACAACACAACGTTGCCCCTTCCTTGAGTTGTAACCATTACCAATTTCAGGCGAACCCAACCTTTCCGTTGATGGACATCACCAGTATTGAAGCCTTGGTTTTCAGATCAAGGATCTCAATGTCACAGCAGAAAAGAGACGGTAACCGATCAAAACACAGATAACATCGAGTGCAATGCACCACAGGCCAACATTCTATTTACCCTTCACTGGTTTGAGCTCAAAACCAAACTCATATCGCCTACGCCCAATTGGCTAACTTAGGTGTCAACCTCACCTGTGTTCAACTACTGTAGTGTGTTTAACTACTATAGTGTCTCATTGTCAAAGTAGGCTTTAAGACGTTTGCCTGGCAGGTAGTCGCTCCACATTTTCAAGGAGGCATATAGGGCGTAGAGCGCTCTCTTGTAGGTAGTTCTCTCTCGTAGGTAGATATAATGCGGCTCTCCCTGATAACATTTGTTTGGACATGAACTCTACAGGGCAGTAATCATCCTGCTGTAACACAACGCCTATTTCCTACTAACTCACGTATGTTGTAACTAGAAATGGTAGGGACGGGTAGGGACAGGTCTCCGATCTTCAAGACTGGGTACTCGACCAGCATCCTTTTCGGGTTCTGTAAGGATGAGGTATAGTTTTTGTAGCCCGGCCCGGTGCTCCGATCTATTGGTGGGGAGCAGCACCTGCTGGAAACCGCGTCCAGGGTCCCTTAAAACATCCTGGTGATCTCCAGCTCCAAAAAAAACCCTGCCGGTAACTGGGTGCAGCATCCCATTACCTCTCTACCATATCATCCCTCCACTGCTGGAAACCGGGTCGCATCATCCTTCAGAACAGTTCTTGTCCCATTCCCAGACTGCCTCGCGACCACAACCATACACATGAACTTCCTGTAGTAGTTGAGTAATCCTAGGACTTTGATTGCCGCAGTTCGTTGAGGGTGTTGACCCTCGACGAGTCTCTGATTGCCGCCATCTTCTTGTCCTAGGGTCATACTCCCTCTTGACCTATCACGTGGTTGATGCCCAGTCACACTTCCGGCGATTCATCTTGAACTTATTCTCCTTTAGCTTACACAGGACTTTCTGCTGAACACTAGAATGCCATCGAGATATACTACAACAAATCTGTCAAGCCACTCTCTAACATATCATTCATGCATCCTTGGAATACTGCAAGGGCAATTCTCAGTCCAATGGGTATCACAGCAAACTCAGTGACCATAGCGACCGTGGTAATCAATGCACATTCTGGCTCCACCATCTTTCGCAGTGACAAGAGACCTGGAGCACCGTATGGAGAGCTGCTGGGTGTGATCCAACCTTTCTCTGTGAACGCAACAACCTGCTTCTTGAGCTCAGGTGATATTCTGTGGATTCTTTCCTTCAGAGGCAATGCATCGGGATTGGAGTCAATCAGATGTTTCACTTTCCTCTCTATGACGCCGGTAGGCTCCTCGTGCAGATCCTGATACTCCACCAAGTACTGTATTTTCTCAGGACCACACTTTATCTGAAGGGTCTGCATGTCTGCTTCAATGACCCAGGCAACCCACAACACCTCATAGGGTGCTGTCGGACATAGCTGAAGGATGTCGGTGATGGCAGGCTCATCTTTCGAAGGCTCCTTCACATTGCCCGGCATGCGCATCACCATTCCACCTTCTCCAATTGCAATCTGCACCATCTGGATGGCGTAGAAAATTACTGCATCTGCAGCTATGAGCCATCATTGGCCTAGTACCATCTGCACTGGCAAACTCTGCAAAATGTAGATTGAGATAGCATGTCCCAATCTCCCTTCTACACCAAATGTTAGGGAAAACTGAGAGAAGTTCACGACATCTTTGTTGGCAACAACGTCTCTGGGATCTGGAAGCAAACACCTTCATATAAAGTGTAGTCTTCATGTTGCCATCCGAGAGGAGGTAGTTATGTGATAAGCGGCTGTCCACTATGGTCTGCACCACTTGTCTGTTGACAACCACGTTGATTAGTGTACCTGTTTTTCCTCACTGCACTCTTCAACTCGTTCTCTCGTCAAGTGTAACCTGTTCTTCCTCGCTGCACTCTTCAACACGTGCTCTGGGTCCTCTTCTTGTGGAGAGCAGCATGCATGCAGAACAAACTGCCCATCTCTTTTTCAATGCACTGTAGCTTCTTCTGGCACTGGAAAAACATAGGCAAAAGTGTTGTCTACCCCTGCTCTCCTCTTCCTCTTCGTCACTCTTACTGGTATCCTATTCTTCTTGCTTTCAAACACTTGCAGTCTCTGCCACTGGAGATGGGGAGAGCAAAAGATGATGCCCTGTATGTGCGACTGGATCACCTACTGGCCCGTGTTTTACTGGGTGATTCTTTTGTGGACACCATTTCCACGAGTGATCATTGTGGCCGCAGATTGTGCACAATCAGTCTTCTAATGTACACTTCTTTGGAGACTCCAAACCTCTCACATTGCAGTCTGTATTGCCATTATCTGCTTTATCTTCTTCATCTTCCTCTGCCGCTGCTTGCCTTGCGAACCATTCTGCACCAACCGTGAAGCCCCCACAGCAATTGCCTCAATTTCTTCCCCCTATGACTTGGGCTGCTGTCCTTGCTGTTCTACAGGATCGTCGTCCTTTCCTCATTCGCTGCAGTACTCGTTCAATAAGCTGACTTTGGTGGTGCCCACTACTGCAGGACATATCTTCCCCCTTCTTCCGTATGTGTCAAAGGGGAAGATCCACTTGACTGGCTTCCAACCTGATATAGGTTGTTGTTGCCCCAGTGGTCTTCAAAGACTGCTCCAACCTCAGGGCTACGTCTGCCATGACCGTGTAGGGGTTGAGCTCAATCCACTTTTGGCGCACGAGGGTTGCCAATGCGAGGATCAGGGTCCTCGGTAGGCCTATGCGGCCCTGTCTGCAGCCTTACCCGCCCTAAGTGAAGGCGGGCCTGGCCTTTTGTAAGAGGCCCTCGACTGTCAATTTCATATTTGGGGTCCAGGCAGTTGCGACCCGCCAGTTGGTTGAAAGAAACACAGGCCGAGCACCGAAGACATTTCCACGGCCTATCGGGCCTTTCCAAAGAATGCAGGCCCTGGGCGTGATTCGCAGCCTCATACAGAGACAGTTGGGCGCCCAACCGAACGAGGCCCAGCAGCCCAGTAGCAGCTGCATCCAGGCAGCCTCCTGGGGCCTTCTGGAAGCTTCTGGGCCCAGGCCAGCCCAGCCAGGCTGGGAGAGCTGGCCAGCTCTTTTCCATAAAAGAAAGAGCTCTGGCCAGGCAGCCTCATTCAGGCACTCGCATGCTGGCGGCAGCGGTGCTGGAGCTCATGCTTGTAGGCTGCTGCTAGCGCTGAGAGGCGAGGTGCAGCACGTGCGGTCATGCAGAGGAGGAGGGCGCTGCTGAGGGCAGCGCCATAGCCCAGCCACCATAGCTGGTGGGCTTGGACTACAATGACGGGGTGGTCTTCGGGTGAAAGGAGGACAGGTGTGGGTGAAGTCAGGGGATAGGTGAAGGATGATGATGATGATGATGATGATGATGATGTGAGGGCACGTACCTTGTATTGGCGATGGTCTGCATGGGCGACATCTTCAAGTACTTCGGGCTGCCGCTGATGTCAACACTTGCATTGTCTTTTTGAAGTCTGTAGTAGCTGTGCAGGAGTAGGCTGGACGCTGAGCGCCAAGTGTGAGTGTGCAGGAACTGGACTCTTGTGTTGGGAGGAGAGAGTATGCTCTCCATGAACATTGGTTTTCAGTGCTACGAACCTCCATTGGTGTATTATTGGTGCAATGCTGCACTCTGGACACGGTGTGACTATTTGGCTTTCAATGTGATGGTGTGATCTGGTATTGTCATCTCGCTGTTGCTTATTTTCCTTGCAATTTGGTATCGTGCAATCAGACTCGTTCTCAAACACACTTTTCATGCATGGAAACAGCAACGCAGCAAATTGGCGACATGCACTCACTCAACACTCAGAGATATGGCTTCCGGATACGGGTTCACTCTTAACTGGCTACGGCGCCCAAACAACTCACTGTTCACACACACACTGGATCACCCTGGATATCCCACACGCATCACTCTAACACTCCAACACACACACACACACACTCGCTACTAACTACAGCTATGGCAGCTATCGCTGCCTCTAACCTATCGCTATACTAACTCCTCTCTTGCCCACTGCGTCCTCCGAGCTCATCTGCAGACCTCCTTGCACAAGTCGCTGTGGCAGCGCTTCCGCATGGCTCACGCAGGAATCCATGAAAGGCTGGGCGCTGCCTCTTGATTTATAATTCAGAAACTCGTTGGTCTGCCCTTTGCCATCGGCCCATGGTGCTCACAGTCCCCCCGTGGTACTTGCTGGACCGGGCTGGGACTGACTGGACCTTCCGCTGACTGACTGTGGACTCACCGCTATCCTACCGACGTCGTACTGTTATTGCACTGCAGTTTAGTCCACCACTTGCCTCGCCACTTGACCACTTGCCCACTTGCCTACCTTCTAGAAGGTCTACAGCTAAGCTTCTGGAACTCACTAAGACTTCTACGCTATAGACCTACAGATCGAACCCCTGCTGCCTATGGACCTACGACAGACCTACCAACTGTCTACGAATACACAGGTCACAGGTTCAACTCTCGGGGTCTACACAGATACTGTACATGGGTAGGGTGAGGTCTAGGGATCGAACCCTGGGTACTGCATCCGCTACTGCTAAAAGGTGAAAACCGTTTCACTCCCACCGTCCTAAATTCGAGGTCCTCCGAGAACATTTCAGTCCAGGGCGGGACCTTCATAGGCTCTGACTGTGTCGGGAGCGGTCTCTAGAAGTTCTGTTTTTGTGAACCAGCGGTCGTCTTCTGGTTCCTGATAGGCAAACCGGACTTTATACTGTTTCTGGGGACGACCTCTACCTCCCGTCCTAAACACATCCTCGTCTACAATGCCCTCTATGTCATAGCTCCCATCCATATCCGGTGGGATCATGGATCTTCTAAAAGGGAACTGTTGGCTTGTAACACATGGAAACAGCTTTGAAGCATGGCACACAGGATATGTGTGGAGGTGTATTGGGATCTCTATAGTGTATGATGGTCCATCCTCTCCGCCCTTGACTTCTAGGGCCGGCCTCTATATGCAGGCAGTAACTTCTAGAACCGGCCTCTATAAGCACGGTCCTCTATATGCAGGCAGTAACTTCCGCGAGATGTTTTCCTCAGGCGCAAACTCTTTTGCCTTGACCCAGACTAAGTTGCCTACTTAAAACTGTGATGGGCGACAGTGCTTATTAGCCTGTTCTATCGTCCTATGTTGGGCCTTGCAGAGGTTCTCAACAACAGTGGCTAATTCTTTTTCGTGTTGTATCGCAAACTCCCTGGTACTGGGCGGTAGTCTGTGAATCTGATCCCGGTTCAGTCCTTCGAACGGTCTGCGTGGTCTAAAGGACTTATGCAACTCATTGGGAGTGTGGCAGGTGGATAGATGCACGCTGTTGTTGTATGCACTAGCTACCTTAGGCAACATCTCATCCCAGTTAATCTGATCTGGTCTAATGTACATGCGCAGAACTTGCTGCAAAACTTGCTGTAGGATCTTGTTCATCTGTTCTGTTTCACCGTGAGTCTCTGGGTGACGGCCAGGCGACATTAACAACTTAGATCCGTATATTCTCACGAGTTCTTGCCAGTTCTGGCTGGTGAAACGACTATCTCTATCACTAACTATCGACAATGGGATTCCATTCTCACTAACCCAAAAGTCAAAGAACTTTTGTATCACTAAATCTGTACGTGCCCCTGCAGGCAAAGGGACAAAAACAACATACTTGCTAAAGCGGTCGACTATGACCATGACTTGGCTTTTACCATGTCTACTTTTGACTTGGGTGTCCATGAAGTCTATGGACACTAAGTCTCCCGGCTGATCCGGAATAGGCAAGGGTCTGAGAAGACCTAGGGGCGTGCGTGTAGTAGTCTTATTCCTCTGGCATACTTTACAACTGCGGACATACTCTAAGCAGTCATTCTTCATCCCTGGCCAGGTGTACGCACACCTCAGATTGGCTAATGTCTTTTGCCAACCGAAGTGTCCCTCTGTATCGTGGCATTCCCCTAGGATCAAACTACGAATCTCTTCGTTGTTGGGAACGCACAGGCGGTCCAACACATTAGTCTTCTCAAACAACAACCCGACTGTAGTGCGGTAATCTGGTTCGGTCTCTGGGGCCTCTCTAACTCTCTTTAGGAGGTCGCTATAGATAGGGTCCTGCGCATACGCTTGCTTCACTTTTTCCTGCAGGTCTCTCCCTATATCCAGATAATGTACTATGGCTCCAAAGTAGTATGATCTCCTACTCAGAGCATCCCCAACTACGTTGTACTTGCCCTTCACTGGCTTAAGTTCAAAGTCATATTGGTCTATCTCTGCGGCCCACCTAGTCAACTTAGGTGTCATCTTGGCCTGGGTCTTTAACCATCTAAGCGTTTCATGGTCGGAATATACTTTGAAGTGCCTCCCAAGCAGGTAATGCTTCCAATGGTCTAGAGCCTGCCTGAGAGCGTAGAGTTCTCTCTCGTACGTCGAGGTGGCTACCTTCTCTGAGGCGATCCTGGCGGACATGAACTCTACGGGTCTATAGCCATGGCCGTCATCCTGTTGCAACACGGCGCCTGTTCCATATTGACTTGCGTCCGTGGTGACGACAAATGGCAAGGACGGATCAGCTACTTTGAGGACAGGATACTCTATTAACGCGCGCTTTAACCTCTTGAGCGAAGACGTACAATCCTTGTCCCATTGCCAGATCGCTTCTTTCTTTAGCAACCTGCGCAGGGGAGCGGCGATAGTGGAGAAGTTCCTCACGAACTTTCTTTAGTAGTTAGCTAGGCCAATGTGCGGGGCGTCGGACAGTATCTAATTGCCGCTATCTTGCTGTCCTCTGGCTTGATGCCATCTCCGTCTAATACATGGCCCAAGTACAGGACTTGTGTCTCGGCCCACTCGCACTTCTTTGGATTGATCTTGAAGTCGGCCTCTCGTAGCTTCTGCAAGACCTGCCTCAGATGACCCTGATGTTCCTGGAGGGTCTTACTAAAAACTAGGATATCATCTAAATACACTACTACAAACTTGTCTAACCATGGCCTAAACAGGTCATTCATACAACGCTGAAAAGTGGCTGGCGCATTGGTTAGTCCAAAGGGCATCACTATGAACTCATAGTGCCCGTATCTAGTCCGGAACGCAGTCTTGTACTGGTCATCAGGATGAACCTCTATCTGATGGTATCTGGACTTTAAGTCTATCTTAGAGAAATACTTACAACCCTGCACCCGATCTAAAAGATCGTCTATCGTAGACAGTGGCTCAGCATTCTTTACTGTGATAGCATTCAACCCCCTATAGTCTATACACATACGAAGCTCTCCTTCCTTCTTGGGGACAAATAAAACTGGTGCTCCAAAAGGAGACGAACTGGGCCTGATCCAACCTTTCTCGAGGAGTTCGTCTAATTGCTTGCGAAGCTCCTCTAACTCCCTAGGGGACATCCTGTAGACTGCGCCCTTAGGAGTTCTACTGCCAAGCTCTATCTCTATCCTGTGTTGGATGGGTCGCGACACTACTCCTGTCGGCGACTCAGTCAAGTCTTTGAATTCCTCCAGCAGCTTGGATATGGTTGAATCTGTAGAACTGTCTTCTTTCTGGTCTCAGTGACAGGTCTAACATAAACTAAAAAGACCTGTTCCTCTAACTGTTCCTTCTTCACTAGTCGCGCAAACACGGGAGCACTGAGACAACAATGTGCCAAGGTGTTATCTACACCTGACACATGAAACAGGCGGGCGGTCTTTACCTCACCTGACGGACTAGGGACCCATGCTCTCTCAAATGGAGTGTGGCCCCTGCTGCCTCTCCCCAATCCATTCCTAACACAACATCAAAAGGAAGGTTGTCTTGTACGAGGAGAGTCAGGGAATGGAGAACTTTCTCCACCTTCCCATCTTTCTCTAGGCGAAAGTACGCCTGGACTCCCTCTACGTAGTCCTCAACTCCCATTGTGCGGTTGTCTGCGAGGACACTGACTATGGGGTCTACTAACTTCTGGACTTTTAGTCCTAGCCTCAGCTTCTTCAGCGCCCTACGGCCAATATAACTACGGGTGGCCCCTGAGTCTATAAGGGCCCCTACTCTGCTTCTAAACACCTCTACAACTACCAAGATCAGTTGCCCCTTACTCTCTTTCTTCATCTTGGCCCAGACTGGCATCCTCTCCTTCAACTCTTCTGCCACACCTGTGAGGGACGTGCCTAAAGAGACGCTAACACAGGCGGTCTCTGGACAACTAGTTAGGCACAGACCTGCAACCTCTGCCATAGGCTCATGTGGGTTGTGAGTGTCCTATTCGCGCGCGCTCACTTCTCCACATGGCCTTGAAGTAGGGGCAGTTGCGACCCCTACTGGCGGCTGCCTTTTGACGACTGAGCAGCCCGACGGGCCTATCTATACTTAGGACAAAATTTAATTACGTGGGCCGGGTCACCACAAAACACGCACTGACCCAAGTTCACACGTTCCTGCCATAAACCCTGGTCCAAACCCAAATCTTCCCAGGGCCTGCCCTATGGCAAGCCTGGGTGCCATCCTCCTTGAGGTGCCCTACCACCTCATTGTTGTGGGGACCGATTGGAACCTGGCGATTTAACAGGGGACCTTGACCCCTACCTCCCGCTTGACGGTTTCCTTGGCCGCCAACCCCCTGAGCGCCCGGTCCTCGACCTCTCATGGCCTGACCCCTTTGGCCCTGGCCTCCTCCTCTACCTTGCGGCCTCCCTCCAGCCGCGAGAGCAGCATAAGACCTCCCCTGTCCCATACTATTGTCCTCTTCCTCTAGGCCCCACTCTATCTGACTGTATGGGACCTCATCAGTACCACCTTCCTCTAACGTCAGGATCATGTGATCCTTGGCCTTGACTTGGCCAGAGATGGTACGTCCTTTCCACCTTTTTCCCTTTTCTAAGTCCTTGTGCCAGAAGGTGGTAACTGGGATGGACTTCGACTCATACAGGACGACTTCTCTACTTAATGCATCGTATGTGATGCCGGCCTGTTGAGACTTGTCAAAGAAATGCCCACGCAGGGCCTCTAGCATGGCACGATAAAACAACTGGACCAACTGGGTCTCAGTGACTCCATGGTCCGGGACAGCTACCAAGTCGTCCATGGTCCCCTTGAGTGCCCTGACACTCCTCCACTGTCGTGAGTGAATTGTTTGCAGCTTGTCAGAGACGCGGGCGCCTCACGTTGGGTCAGCAAATCGCTCCTTCAGGAGCGTGAGGAATTGAGGAAGGGGGGTAACTTTAGAGTAAGCAACCAGGTTGTTTTCACACCCGGCTGCGTGCGCAAGAGACCTGGCGAAACTAGCCGCTTCATCCTTGAGGGCCTGGAAGGCCAGGAGGACTTGCTCCTCTGACAGGATATGATGTAAACAAATGTAACTATTGACACTGGCTTCCCAGTTGTCAAAGTTTTCTTCCTTCTTTCCCCCGTATGCATCTGGGAACTTAAGTTTCACTGGGTCCTTACGGGGCCTGGCCTCTCCCTCTACAGCGACTATGGCTTTGGCACCCTCAATGGCGCCTTCACAGAATTTCCCCACGCTATCTCTCAATCTCCTAACTTCCCCTCCAACGTGGGTAACCATATTGCGCGCAAAATCCCTGAATCCCGACCGCATGGCACCCAGGGCTACCTCCTGACTCCAACTGGCCTGGCGCTCCTCCATCCAGGCTGCACTCGACACTTCCAGGTAACCCAACATCTTATCCATCTTGGCAGAAATATCTGTCTGTGCTCCCACTTCTCGCCTACAATCCTGCACTTTCGCCACTTCCACGGTCAACCTATTAACTTTCTCCCTCCTCTTCTTCTTCTCTCTCTTCATCCTCAACTTCCATTCTCCCTTCGTTCCAGAGGGTCCTCCATTGCTGCTAGCTCGCAAACTAGCGCATCCTTCTCGTACTTTGGGACATAGAACTCTGCCTCCTCATCTTCCCCCAACGATAAATTTGCAATCCACTCACTTATTTTTTTCTCCATCTCTACTTCTTCTTTCATCGCGCCACTGCTCTCTGCTTCCTTTCCCTTTCGTTTTCTCTCCTCCTCTGCTTCTGCTGCCGCTTCTTCTTCAGCAGCCTTCTTCTTCTTCTCCATCTCCTCCTCCAACTCCTTCATCTTTGCCGCCTTATCCTCTGCGATAGCCTTCAACTTCGCTTGCTTCAGGAGCTCCTTCCTCTCTCTATTTTCTCTCACTATGGCGGCCATCTTCTCTTGCTGCTCCGGGGTATAGGAGCTAGTACTCGTCCCACCGCGGGTCTCAACCATGGTGATGAGTGCACAACCAGGTGGCGGTTCCGAACCTCACCACGTTGACTCTAACCCCTGACTGACAAACCTATAGACTCAATCTAAGACTCAGGAGGCATTTAAGGAGATCCCCCAAACTCCGCAAGAATTCTTTAATGTCGCAAACAGGACAATGAGATCAGCAGGTCTTTACCTGTCGCACCGCCCACAACTCAGCTTTTCAGGTCTACCGTGCCACACCGAGCAGCCCGCCGGTCAGTACCGGTCCTTGGGAGGGTTTGACCTCCAGGACAGTCGAGTTGTCAGACACAACCTTTAGCCTTACTTAGTCTGACAGGGTTCGGGTCAACAAGGCCCTCAACACTGCCTGTTGTTTCAGCCCGCAACTCAGTCTTTCAGGCCCACTGTACCATACCAACCGTGTCCAGCCGGTCAGCACCGGTCCTTGGGAGGGTTATGCCCCCCTGGACAGTTGGATCTGCCACAGTCTCAGCCCTACTAGATCCGGTAGGGGTTTCGTCATACAGGCCCTATCCTTCATCCACAGAGTACTATCACTTAGGACAGAAGAGACTCGATGCAGAAAGAATGGACAGACTGACTGTACTCAGCAAGTACCAAGGGGAATGTGCACATCCATAGGGCAAGGGGTAGGCTGAGGGCTTGGCGTGACGCCGGTCAACGCTGCGGTCAACCCTCGGTCAACCCTCGGTCAACCCCCGATCAACTCCGGTAACGCCGGCCAACACGCTTCGATCAACTCCTCTGGTCAACCCTTCGGTCAGCTATGACTGCCGGCTCTTCTTCCTCGCCAATTCCCTTCTTCTTCCTCACCTTCCTTGCCTCCTTTCACCCCGCTGTCTTTTTTTTTTTTTTTTTTTTTTTTTTTTTTTTTTTTCACTTTTTCTTCTTCCCTTCGGCTATGGCTTCCTTCTCTTCTCGGTCTCCCCCTCTCTGTCCACTCTCTCTCCCTCCTTCGTTACTCCGTGATGATGCTCTGCGGCTATGGCCGCTTTCTTCCTCCTTCGTGGGACTGCACGGTTCGCTTCACAGGTAAGTGACAACGAAGCTTGTATCGCTCATCTCTCTCTCTCTCTCTCTCTCTCTCTCTCTCTCTCTCTTTCTCTCTCTTTCTCTCTCTCTCTCCCCTCACCGCAGCGGTATCTTCAGCGCAGCAGGTACGTAGTAACCCAATCTTGTATCGCTCAACCTTACTCTCTCTCTCGGTCTTCTTCTTCGTCGTGGTTTTCTTGCAGGTGCGCGGCGGCTTCTCAACCTCAAGTCCGCTATGGCGGACTATCCCCCTCGGCGGCCACCTCTGCTATGGCGCGTCAGCCCCTGTACACGACGGCGCGCATGGAATAGCGGGTACCATTTCCGATACCAATGCAATCAGACTCGTTCTGAAACACACTTTTCATGCATGGAAACAGCAACACAGCAAATTGGCGACATGCGCCCACTCAAAACTCAGAGATATGGCTTCCGGATACGAGTTCACTCTTAACTTGCTATGGCGACTTCAGCGCCCAAACAACTCACTGTTCACACACACACTGGATCACCCTGGATATCCCACACACATCACTCTAACACTTAAATACACCCACCAACACTCGCTACAAACTACAGCTATGGCAGCTATCGCTGCCTCTAACCTATTGATATACTAACTCCTCCTCTCTTGCCCACTGCGTCCTCCAGGCTCATCTGCAGACCTCCTTGCACAAGTCGTTATGGCAGCGCTTCCGGATGGCTCATGCAGGAATCCATGAAAGGCTGGGCGCTGCCTCTTGATTTATACTTCAGAAACTCGTTGGTCTGCCCTTCGCCATCGGCCCATTGTGCTCACAGTCCCCCCGTGGTACTTGCTGGACCGGACTGGGACTGACTGGACCTTCCGCTGACTGACTGTGGACTCGCCGCTATCCTACCGACGTCGTACTGTTATTGCACTGCAGTTTAGTCCACCACTTGCCTCGCCACTTGACCACTTGCCCACTTGCCTACCTTCTAG